AAGGTACGCTCAGGCATTGTCAGGCTAAACTTTTCTTAGGTGATATTTTTTATACCATTGAAGTTCAATTAATAATATTAAGAATCGTAAGTATTACCTAATAGGATTTATTGACAGAGGAAAAAGAATATTTTATTTGACCAGTTGTTAACTAAAAATAGGCTTGCATGCAATAATTTAAATTTATTACTGTAGTTTTAATAAGCTTTTAGTAATATATTTATTCAATTGTCAATATATACTAGTGTATTGTTAGTAAGCATATATTTTTTACTGATGATGCTAAAGAACGGATCAAGTAATATTAAATATATAGGGTTTACTATAAAAATGTAAAATATTTACTTCAGTAATTTCACGAGCATGGACACATCAAATGTGATATCATTGAGTATACCAGGTGATTAATTTAACATAATCATTATTCAAAAAGTAGTAATGGATTTTTTTTTTAATGGTTCCAAGTTGCTACAAAATAACATTTTTATTAAAATATTAAATATTTTTTATCCATAAATTTTTAAAGTTTTTACTTTTTGAACTAGGTACAACACGGTTTTAATTTCAATTTCGAAAGCTTAATATTTTTCTGAGTATTTTGATACATAAAAATAAAATTTAAGACGAGTAGTTTATAACTTATAAGTATTAAAGTTTAGATGAAGTGGAACACGGTTACCCTGAGATATGAGAGGAGTAGTGGACCAGCATTTTGTGGGGTAGCCATTCCACTCCGCTCTTCTAGACTTTAACTACATATAGCTCATAAACTACTTGTTTTAAATTGGATTTTTATGAATTGAAATACATAGAAAAATATTTTGCTTTGGAATTAAAACTGCATGTTGTCATTCAAAAAAGTAAAAAGCTTTAAAATGTTAAGGATAAAAAAATGTTGTTTTTAAAACCCAGAAATCAAGTAAAATTATTTTTTTAAAACCATTTAGTTTTTGAAATAATGAGTGTTCAATAATAAAAGAATTATCTGGTATAATGTACTAATATGTAACAGTTTTAGTTGAATTTAATGCTGGATGTGATCATCACTTATTTGTAAATATAATTCAAATAGGTTAAGGTTAAGATTTTTGAAATACATATATTGGACCTGGTTAAGGACCAATTAGTTGTCTAATAGTATAATTCACTATAACTAGATGGTGAGTTGTGTTAACTTAGATGTCACTAATTATGTTTCTATAGTTAGCAACATCATACTCATTGCACCTGATTCAGAGTTGTGTTATGATATGAGCAATTGTTCAATTTCTGAATGCACAATATTTTCACGGTTCAAATAAACTCAGGAAGCCATAATGGAACAATCCGGTAACTGTTGTTCTGAGTTTCTAGTACTTGCATTGGATTTTATAAATTATTTATCATCCTCAGTTTTACGACGAACACAATTTATGACTTAAGAGGACGCCACACGGATATTTGTTGTCTCCGTCTTACAAGTGCGTAACATTGTGAATTTAGGATTAGCAGATCACATTTAGCTCCGTTAGTTTAAAAAGTAAGAGTGAATCAGCCTATTATGAAACTTGATTGAAAGAATATTATCTGTGTTCGTGTGTTGGTATTTTATGATTATTCAATTTTTAGCAAGTTATATGCGTATATAATAATATACTAATATAGCACAAATTAAAAATGTTCATAACCCACTTAAAAACTGAATAATAGTAGAAAACCAACATACGAACACAGATAATGTTCTTACCATCAAGTTTCATAATTGGTCAATTCACTCTAATTTTTAAACTAATAGACCTAAACGTGATCTGCCGAGAGTAAATTTGCTATGTTGCGCACTTGTAAGACGGAGACAACAAATATCCGTGTGGCGTCCTCTTAACAGATAACAGTTTGGAGTGGAACAATGTGCATCACACAATTAACTACATAGCCATTGCAACAATATTTATGATTAAAATTCCAAGACAAGATGTCAGATATGTAATTAAAATTTAGTAAATTGTAAATAGTGTATAGCAACTGTAATAATTAGTGCATGGAAGTTGTAGGAGTTACATATTATTCTATATGCTATCAATTTATAGAATACTGAGCTCCACAATGGAGTTTAAAAATAGAAATTTTAAAATTCAATTTTATATTTTTTGATTACATATGCATATTAATTATTATATTACAAAGTATATTTAATATTTTCTAAAAAAAATCGATCTTTTTTCCTTCCTAAGCTTTGTATTTTAGTAATACTATTGAATATAATACTTAATATTATTTAATGTAAGCATAAGTGTGCCTGTATTTTAACTGATGTTACTAGAATAAATGTAATTTTTTCTAAAATATGTGGGAAAAAAAATCATGTTTTGTGATAAAAGAATAATATAACATAAAATATTTTGAATTAGCTCGGAAAAACTTATTAATATGATTACAACAGCTAGATGTTATCAAATACTTTGAGCGTAATTTAAAGTATTTGATGTTAATATGTTATTGACTATAAAATATAAATAATAATTACATATTTGAATTATCTTAGAAATAAATATTAGATTCAAGAGAATATAAAACTTGGTACTAGTAATTATATAACACTAATTAATGTGTAAATGTTTAAGGACTCCCGAAATTCAGGTCTGCGCACGCCTCTGAATGTAGGTATTTACTATTTATTGATATCTTTACAGTCGAAAATATATTTAATGACAATGATGCGATGCACATATTTTAATCTCTACCGCGCTAATATTCCGATGTACTATCTTTTCAAATATATTTTTATAACTATTTTATCAGTTTAATGAAATGTTGAAATGGCAAACAGTTTTAAACCATGTTTTAAATGGGTCTGGTACAAAACATAGACAGTTAATATATCGACAAGTACAAATTATTGGAAAAAAAGATTAAATTTTATAGTTGAGATAAAGTAAACAGTATTGTTTTGGATACTGAATACTCTGTACCTAATAGCTTTGTATACACAGATAACGATAAAATAAATAGTAATTCCTGTGCGAGAGAGATACGAAATCATTTCTATTTAGATTGAGTATGAACGAGTACGAGTATGTATGTGCTGTTAATATCAAAAAAACAGTCAGGATTTTAAAACGGGTCAGAAAGCTGAATTTTTATAAGGTAATTATTTTTATAATAATATATCAGTATTTATTAAATAATTATTTTTAAATATATTATAATTTTATCTTGAGTATTTCATGAATTACAAAAATATGTAAACATCGACTTGAAAAGTTGAAACACTAGCTTTTTAATATAAATGTTAACTGTTTTTAGGTATATTAATTTATGAAGAACTTAAATCAAATTAAATTATAATATTTCATTAGGCATATAGTATACCTATATAAATGACAGTTATCGGAAAAAATGCTATCTACTATGCGTACCGTATATTGTATAGTTATCCAAACTTATAGGCACAAATTCAGGACGATGCACAAAATTGTGTGTGTCCTATTTTTATTGAGATCCTATAGTTACCATCGTTGTCGTCTGTAATATACGTAATACGTTATTATGAGATAGGTAATTGATGAAATACAAATAATATATTAAGCCTAATAATATTAATAATCATTTTTTTTAAGTTTCAAAAGTATCTTGTTAATAATATGACATAATAATTTTATTTTATTTATTTAATTATTTAATTTAATTTGTGGACATATTATTGTCATACATTTTATTTTTATTAATATATTATTTGTTATTACATTTTATTTTTATATCATATAATAGAACTTTTTATTTACATAATTGATATACTTATTTTAATTTAATTTGTAAAAATAATTCTAAAATATTTTTTTTTATTTTTATAATTTATATACATATTTTAATTTAATTTGTCAAAATATATTGACTTGTCGACATTGTACTTGTCGATATATTGACTGTCGACGTTTCAACCATCTCCCATTTTAAATAGTAAGAATTTATTTTTCCATATTTTACTTTTATTTTAGTGCTAATAAATATCAACTTAAAATGGTTTTTCTTTTGCTATTTGGAATAATTTTGAATTCTTATGGATAATTATTAATATTTTTTGCATATTTGAAATTTTATCATACATAGTTTATAATTTTCAGTTGTTTAGCTCCTACAACTTCCGAGCCCTAGTACCTAGTATGTTTAAATACAGCCAACCGTATTGTTAAAAAGTGCATCATAATACATTATATGCAATCCACAATTATATAATAAAATAAATGATCTAATTGCAATGATGGTATACCACTCATACATTTAAAAATATTAATGTTAACATTCATAACTTATTTATTATGAAGACACACATGCATGTGATACGAAGAGTCTTACAAACATACATGGCAAATTTTACGTTCACAATTGTATTTTACTCTGTAAATTCTAAATTACAGTAAATTGATCTGTTATAAGATTTAAAGTTAAGATTATTATTAGGGGCATCAGGAATGTTTTGAAAAACAAGTGTTAAGACCTTTTTGAAACTATACAAATTTTGTAAATTATAAAATGATCATAAACTAATTAAAAATGATATAATATAATAAACTCCACTCTAATTGTAAAAATGTAAAATGTAAAATTTGGTATGTTGTACATTTGTAAGACAGATACAATACATGAGGGTGTGGCGTTCCTCTTAAAGCCATTTTGTCTATAGTAACTACAAGATCAATGCAATGTATTATATGCTCATTTCTTTAATTCATTCAAAAAGATAATGGGCCAAACTAAACAGGTTCATACATATTTTGAGAACGAAAAATATTAAAAACAATTTGGTAGGTAATATGTAAATGTGGTATATAATATAATATACTCGTGGTTCAGTTCCTAAATTACAATACTAAGAACAATAACCTAAATATTTAAGAATCCAATTGCCTTAAACAAATAAAGTGAGTATTTCAATACCATATTTATGATTTTTGGGTTTCATTTGGTTGAACAATTACACACATTAATTTGTTTCTAGTTACCAAGGACTAAGATAATATACCTTAGTCTTTGCTAGTTGCCAATATGTCGGGTTTTCTATATAACTTGAGCGGACGCTGAAACCCTTTGGATGGATTATGAGGCATTGAAAGAGTTTCACAGTTGGCAAAACCAACTTCGTTCAACAGATAGTCTGTAAACATTGGCGGTTTCAGCAGAATGTTTTTGTAATTTTGACTTATGATTTCCTAAAATTATACATTAAACAAAATCAATAAATATTCTACTCGTTTATTAACATTATTAAAATTATCATCATATTTACCGTCAATGTTTTCCTGCGACCATAAGATTTCCATGGCTGAGGCTCCACCACAAGTATTCCACCGGGTCGCAACTGTGCAAACATACGTTTAAATGCTCGTTTCAAACCATCATCACCCCAGTTCAAGTGAAGCCATTTGGTAATGCTTAAACAGAGAATAACGTCGAACTTACACGTTTCCAATGAAAGTAAAAGATCAGATTCTAATACATAATTTCCCTGAAACATATTGTCTTTGTTATAAACTTACATTTGTGGAATTACCAGACATTTTTTTATTCACTAACCTGCACAAAAGAGACATTGAAGGGAAATTGTTCATGAAATGTATTACTAACTGATTTAATAGGACGATACTCCGTAGGTAATAATTCGGTTACATTATCACAGTTGGTTAGGTTTGGATCATTACAATTTCTAAAATCAAAATTTTTTTTTGATGCCAGGGGTGAGGAAGACTGCGCTGTATCGTTAATGTAATACTGTACATTTTTGCGTGCAATATTAATTAGCTTACGATCAATATCCATTCCTACAACTGACTTTGCACCAAAATCTCTAGCAACGCTGAAAGTAACATGACCGATATTACAGCCAATGTCCAACACGTCCTTGCCGTAAAATAAATCCGTGAGTTCAGCTAAGACTTTCAATCTATTGTCTTCATTATCTGGATTACGATAACCGTAATATCTACAACAAAATATTTGGACTTAAAATAATAAGCTTGGCAAATAGTAAAGATAATAAATACACAAATGTACACATAGTAAATATAAATAAATAAATATGTATAAGTATTAAAATAATGTTTTTATGAATATATGTATGTCACATATTATCTATGTATAAAAATTCTTTCAAATTTAAAACCGAGGTTGGGAAAATACAAATATTCAAACGTTACATATTTATTTGAAATAGATAATAATATTTACCATTATCAGTTTAACAAATACATTCATATTGAATAATGATTCAATAATGATTTACTTATTAAGAATTCAATAGCAGTGTTCTCAATGATTTAAAATTCTCAGTGGAGCAATAAATGTATTGATTTTAATTTATAATAAAGATGTGTGTTTTTTAAATTTTGTTTTTTGTTTGAGTATATACGATAACGGATAAGTAGTTGAAAAAATTATTCAATTTTTAAGTTTTGTATCTTTTCTGGTAGAAAGTGAATCTAGTTGTATCTTTTGAGCCGTCAAAATAAAAAATTGACAATAGTTTTCAAAAGATTCGGGATAAACAAAACAAAAAATTAAGGAATACAATTTTTATGCAAAACTAGTTTCAACAAAATTTATTTTATTTTTTGGTATAACTAAAAACAATAACATTTTTTCACACAAAATACAAAATACTAAAAAAATACCAATTTTTTCAAGTACCATCCCCCTCATTCCCCCTTAATTACGCTCCTGGTGCTACAGAACCGTACCAATTTGCCCACCTTTTAGGTTTCTAAACATACCTACGTTATATTCTAACCTTATAACCTCGTTGTGTCTGTTCGTTAGTTACGAATACATAGTTATGAATTGTGATTGTTTGTATTAAGATTTTATAACTACAGTATTCAAAGTAAATTTATACTAGCAAATATTAAAAAATTTCAAAATATTAGTATTTAATATAGATTCATAGTACCAACTACCAAGCCAATATGAGTATTATAAATATATTATGAACGATAACATATGTTAAATTCTCAAGCAAATAAACAAGATTTAGAGGTTGTATGTCAAAGGACATTCAAATTAATTTTATTGAGGAAGTAAGGAAAACGTGGGTTAACTAATTAAATTATTAGAACTTATTTATTTGTTCATATAATTTGTATGTTACTTTAATTGTTAGATATGGTTATAACAAATTTACAAATTAATAATTTGTTATTTTTTTTTTTTGTTAGATTCATTAATAAAGAGAAATAATCAGTTTTTCATTAATTTTAAAACATTTATTAATTTGATATAATATTACTTTTAAAAGTGGTTAGTGTTAAGTGTTAACATAGCTATTTAAATGTTTTCGCTTGAAAATTAAAGTTTCATGATAAAATAAAAACTGATTAAATTATATTTTATTGATTGAATACTACCTATATTAATTTAATAAGTGAAATTGTGTATTTTTAAGGTGTAGAACAATGCTCAACAAGCTAAAATATTACATACACTTTTGTGAGTACTTTGTACTTCAATGTGGTAAAATGTGGTTCACTATGACTATGGTAAAAATACTTCATTGTAAGGTTAATAGCCACTCTCAGTTTTGCTTAGAATTCATGAAATATACAATTTTAAATTGACCTTAAATGTCCGTAATATTAAATTATGTACCGTGTATATGCATTATGCATAGTAAAAATGTGTGTGTTAAGACTTCTAGATTATGATATTTTGTAATAGCTAATATTAAGTATTAATAATTCATAGTAAAAATAAAAATGTATGAAGAGGAACTAAACGATATACTAGTTTATATAAAAATTACTTTAAGATAATTATTTTTATAAAGATACACAAGATTTGAGAACAACATACATTTTGTTAATGAAATAATGCTGAGATGATAGTCAATATACTTAAGACTTATAAGTTGTTCAAATTAGAAGTTGTATTTATTCAAAGAATATGATAATAATTAAACTAAAATATATATAAAATATAATATATTCGGATATTAAACTAAACTAGTAAAAAATGATTCATAATAATATATGTTTATAATGAAATAACGATTAACATTATATCAATTTATCTAGAATATAGATCATACCCAGCAATTCATTGAAAGATCCTTTGATCCATTCTAAGTGATTTAAAGTGTTTTTTCCGTTTAGAGATCTCTTCTCTAACTACGTTAAAATACATGATGATATAGGGTAAATCATTTTTGGATTATAAAATAATATTTAATCTTACCTGCAATAATTTCCATATTGATACAATGCATTTTTTTCTTTAAGCTTTAGTTTAGGCATAACAACCGAACTTAGTAGGACATGTGGGAATGACGACCAGTGGGTATTGAGTTTTGGGCCGTTTGCGGCTTAGGGAATAACCTACGATCTTAGTTAATAGTTCGTGGTTTAGTTAACGCATATCACTCGTGCATGATATTTGAAATTGAAAATAACCTTTTAGATTTTATTTATATTTGATAAGTCGAAAACTAATATCACAAAATGATAAAAACATTTGTTATCAATTTTTTTATCACTTTTTATCAAACGTTTTTCAAAATTCATTAAAAATCCTGTCAATAAGCACCACGGAACATTTATTAGTCCGTGGACCGTGATAAGCACATTTTAATTTTAATTTTTATTAAATTTTTAAAGTGTTGTTAAATCACTGCTACTGCCTACTTTTATAACAGTTTTGTTTTAGGGGAAATAAATACGTATTAACCGTGGTAAGGTTACAATAATTACATTTCTTACTTAAAAACATTTTTTTTTTGTTGACTCTCAATATCTCGATATTTTCGTCGTCAGTCATTGGGATTATGAACTACGAATTATAGTATTCATCAAGGTTATCCTCAGGAATTTGTCAAGGCTAGCGCAAAATATTTTCCTTATTTGTCTCACTTTCCTATTAGTTATAAAGTAGGTATTTTTGTATCATGTTTTCTTTCACATAGACTAGGAATGTAAAAATATTTATGAATTATACGAAGATACAGTTAGCTAAAACTGTATCTTACAGCATTAATTTTAAATTATCAAATACAATTTTTTTTAATAAATAAAATGTTACCGTTGATTTTATAATTTTAGGTAATTTATAAAATTATATATTTCTAGTTTATTCAACCACTGATACCACAAACTTTAAAAGTTGAAACTACTGTTGTAGTAGGTATGCCATCTATAAACATTTAATTTTTTTATCAAAAAAGTAAAAATTTGGTTGCCACTGGTCCCACCACTACATTTCATAATTTATAAAAACAACAATGTTCTGACGTTCATACACTAGTGTAATAAAAAAACTTTGTAACAAAAAAAAATGTTTTTATTTTTAATTCAAAAAATGTTTATTTTGCAATATTTTATATTACAACACGGTAGTGATTGAGGTTGGGATTACGATGCACTTTGCATTGTTTTCCAAATCTAGCTACACAATACTCATTTTATAACATACCTACATTGAATTTTTTGAAAATTTTAAATTTTAAGGTCATTTTTTGTATTTAAAGATTTTTGGAGCATTTTGAAGTTTTTTCTAAATTTAAATATTAAATTTTATTTTACATTATGCACTTGTTTGTACATACATTTTATAATAAAATCTAAAGTCTAAACCTATAGCTAGAGAAAAAAAATAGTTAATTTTCAGATTAAATAAGTAGTACAAATTTTGAGGTCTGTTTGTAAAACTTTTATACAATCATTTAAAAGTTTAAAATGCATATTATTCATACCGAATTTATTTTAGAATTTATATCTTTAATATTCAAAATAAAAATAATTTAGGGCACTATTTAGAATTGTTAGGGCATTTTTAAGTTTTTTTAAGTTTGGTAGGTACATACATTTTTTCATAATAATGATAGAATAATGCTACAAAATTAAATTTTTTTTCGAGTGTCGGCACTTTTAAACTAATAAAATTAAAACTTATTATTTGCTTTTAATTAAGTTAAATATTTTGTATCTTCTTGTTCAGTACTTCAGTACATTATATCAATTAAAATAAAATATGCATTACAATATATATTTCAAGAGAAGAAGAGTTGGTGATTACATCATGTCAGATAATTATATTAAAAACAGTAGAATGAAAATCATCCTAATAAACACGTATGAGTAAAAGCAAAAAGCTATGTTATTTTTTCATTTTTATAAGTAAACAAGCCATAACCAAAGACTTTCATACAAAACAACAGAAAAAATTAAATAATACAGTCAATATATTTTCAACAATAAAAAAATATTTATTCATCTCACAAATTGTACAATGAATAAAATTTATACTATGTATTTAAGTTATGAGAAACGAAAAATATTAAATAACAATTTGGTAATAAAAGTCAATATACACATGGTCCAGTTGCTAAATTACAGTGCTAAGAATAATAACATAAATATTTAAGGCTACAATTGCCTTAAACAAATTCAGTGAATATTTCAATACCATGTTTATAATTTTTGGGTTTCATTTGGTTGAACTATCGTACACTTTGGTTTGTTTTTATTTACTAATATGTTAGGTTTCCTATACAACTTGAGCGGGCGCTGAAACCCTTTGGATGGGTTATGAGGCATAGTAAGAGTTTCACAGTTGGCAAAACCAACTTCGTTCAACAGATAATCAGTAAACATTGGAGGTTTCAACTGAATGTTTTTGTAATTTTGCCAAATAGTTTCCTAAAATTATACATTAAACAAAATCAATAAATATTCTAGGTACTCGTTTATTAACATTATTAACATCATCATCATATTTACCGTCAATGTTTTTCTGCGACCATAAGATTTCCATGGCTGAGGCTCCACTACAAGTATTCCACCGGGTCGCAACTGTGCAAACATACGTTTAAATGCTCGTTTTAAACCATCATCACCCCAGTTCAAGTGAAGCCATTTGGTAATGCTTAAACAGAGAATAACGTCGAACTTACATGTTTCCAATGAAAGTAAAAGATCAGATTCTAATACATAATTTCCCTGAAACATATTTTCTTTGTTATAAACTTACATTTGTGGAATTATCAGACATTTTTTTATTCACTAACCTGCACAAAAGAGACATTGTAGGGAAATCGTCCAGATAGTGTCAAGCCAGCTAAATTAATTGGACCATACAGCATAGGTAATGATATAGGAAATGATTCGATTATATCACTGTTTGAATCATTATGATTTATTGAAGCAAAATCTTTAAAATGGTAATTTGATGAAAGGTATGAGGAAGACTGCGCTGTATCGTTTATGTAATACTGTACATTTTTGCGTGCTATATTTATTAGTTTACGATCAATATCCATTCCTACAACTGACTTTGCACCAAAATCTCTGGCAACGCTGAAAGTAACATGACCGATATTACAACCAACGTCCAACACGTCCTTGCCATAAAATAAGTCCGTGCGTTCAGCTAAGACTTTCAGTCTATTGTCTTCATCATCTGGATTACGATAACCGTAATATCTACAACAAAAAATTTAGGTTTAAAATAATAAGCTTGTCAAATATATGCACAACATAAATGTAAATATATATGTATTTGCATTAAAATAATTTTTTTATGAAAATATTTATGTCTAAGTATTTAAAAACAAGGTTGGGCAAATCAGTGGCACCAAATTAAATAAAAACTGGAAGTTGAAATAGTTTGATTGACCCACCCAACCCTTTCAAACGATTGAGAAATGGGCTTAACCTATAATTTAATGACAAGAGCATAATAATTAAACCAAAATAAATTCTTATTAATTAACTCTTACAAATTATAATAATTACAAATACACTAGTAAAAATATTTCATTATTATATAATATTATTTTTAATGTTAAAGCAGTTATCATAGTATCAGTTTATATTTGGAACTAAGCAATGTATAAAACAGTTCAGTTCCCATGTAGCGGTATCGCAAAAAAAAAAGTTTATGTAGAATCTAGATCATACCCAGCATTTTATTGAAAGGTACAGTCCTTTAATCCTTTGATCCATTCAAAGTGCTTAAAGAGTGTTTCCGATTGGACATCTCTTTTCTAACTACGTTAAAATACATGGTGATATAGGGAAAATCATTTTCGGATTTGCCAATAACATTTAGTCTTACCTCGTATAATTTCCATATTTAAACAATGCATTTTTTTCTTTGAACTTTTTATTAACCTTTTGTTTTGGTTTAGCTGTCGTAACAACGACCTGCTGATGTACGCTGTGTTTCTCCGACAATGAGGGCTGCATAACAACCGGACTTACTACACATCTTTTGGGCTTTATTTTTTCGCGCTGCTCTTGTGTTTCCTTACCGTCGTCAACTTTTTTTTCAGGAGATGGTGACAGTGTTTTGCATGGCTCGAGTATCTTTTCAACAACCAGTTCAACAGGAGCTTTTGAAATTGGAATATTACATTCATCTAATGACACTAGAACTTCTTGCACTAATACATCTATGATAGTTTCTATAACTTCAATTATTTCACATGATACTTCATTATTCTCAGACTTGGACATACAATTTTCAAGCAATTCAGTTTTGAGCTTTTTATTAGGTGGCGAAGAAATAATGTCTTCTTCTACCTCTCTTTTCTTTTCTTTATTACATTCTGGTTTAAAACTAAACAAAACAAAATTTAAAAATTGCTATTAATAAATAATAATTAGGATAATACAGGTTTACCCAATATTACTAAATAATTTAATAGTGATATTTTATAAAATATGTCAAAATATTAATTTTCAATATTATTGAAGTGAAACTTCTTTATGGAGGTACAATGCAGAAAAATTTGATATGTAATTATGTTCACAACACAAAATTGCTATGTCAACAAAAAATAATAGTACAATATAAATCATATACCTAAATCCGATAATTACTATTATTATAATCTATTTAGATATTTAATACTTAGTGTGGAATAGTGAAACAGAGCGTGGTTTGAATATATACTGTAAGTTAATTAAATTTATAATAATTATGAAATAATCATGTATATAATAATAACTATAAGTCTATAAATATCGTAACGATGGAAGGTTATAATAATATATTATATTGTTATATTTTTAATACAATTACTGGTACATCAAATAATTCCAATGCTAATTTGATTATAATGAAATGAGAGTAAATAAAATAAATAGAACAAATAAATTATTTTTTATATCATGAATTTTAACCAAGTTCATGCAAGTACTTGTTGCAAGATTGTTCATTTTCAGAAAAGCTAGATATCACTAAAAGCTATGAAAACATTTTTACTTCATACACTTTTGCTTGCACATATATCACAACTGATTATAATTTAATTATTTTAAATTAGCTTTAACTTACTCCTTTTCTGGGGTGTTCTCAGTAATTATCCCAGTATCAGATAAAGATTTTAACAGCGGTATTTTAGATTTACATTTTTGCGGAGTTTTTGGTTTTAATGAATCTATGCCAGTACATGCAATTGCTTTAGCTCCATCGCACTTGCTAAGTTCCAATGGATCAGATAAATTTCGAGGAATTATAACATTCACTTGATCTTTTTTTATGTTCACGGTATTTGAGTGTAGGGGAGAAGATTTTGGAGTTTTATTCATTGCCCTAAAATTTCAAAATAATAAATTAATATAATTTAAAATAATCAACAGTATAAAATATATCTATTTTTAATTTACTTATTAATATCTTCATTCTGGAGACTATTTAAATTGAGGGGATCAGTCATGCTACCACCAAGCAAAAACTTTTTAGGTGGTATTATATTTTGATCTTCTTTTTTTTTCTTCTTCGGTGATGAGCTTATAAGAATTGATGTGCTGACACATCGTTTTCTTGTTGGGTATAGTTTAATTTTATCATCACAAAACTGTAAATTTGTACAAACTGCATTCAAATCTTGATTTTCAAGCGGTTTTTCAATTGTTTCATTCTCAACTTCAGTTTTAGTCGCCATTATAAGCCTTAAATCAAAATATAATTACAAAAAAAATAAAATAGCAACATTAATTAATTCAATTAACAAAAAAACATTATTATTATTATTATTATTTAATTATTTAGTATACGTTTTTACTTAAATAAGATAATTAATCATATAAATAAATATATTATAAAAATTATAACGGAAAGGCATATTACGGCTTTTATCATGGCAATAATAATTCATCAACTTATAAGTTATAATAATATTTAATTGTATCAGTTTTGTAATATACAGCTATTTAATGCTTTTTACTATATTTCATTAATTATTATATTGTTTTTGTAAAAGAATTCTACTCTACAATTCTAAGGTACTCAAACTGTACATTGTGGCTCCAAAAGTAACGCAAGTGTTAGTTAAAGAAGCCACAGATCAAAAGAGGAAAGAAAATAATAATGTCCATCATTTTGTTAAGATAAATAAATTAATAAATGATTAACATTATCCATTTTTGTTTTTAAAAATTTGGGAGCTGTTGTAATGAGTAAAGATCTGTAAGATAAATGTTTTTGTTATGAAACAGCTTAATCTATTATGAATAAGACAAAATATAAATTAAGTTTGATTTATTATTTAAAATTAAGTTTATAAAACAATTGTTTTTAATGGTGAAACGTGATTAATGATTACAGTGCTCTGAACTCAGCACATTTCTTAGTAAGCCAACAAATCTGATAAATTAAATTAAATCTGTAATGGAATACAAAAATGTACTTCAATTTCACAATAAGTATACTTATAATAATAAGTAAATTTACCTTAAATCCAAAATGTTGCATATTTTCCAAATTTAAGCAGTTTTACATGTTGTAATTAAATGCATATTTTCTTTAAAACTCAAAAAAATCTGGTTTAGAACTTAGATGCTCTTGCGCATCCCCGAGTCGTTTATATTTTAAAATATATAAATTTGATAATTATTTTAAATATAAAAAAACTTAATACGGTAAGTGAGCAGCAGTAATGGATATGTTAAATTTGAATTCAATGATATAGAATCATTGTATATGAAAAACAATTCGGAGTGAAGACGGTTAGCCTATAATACTACTAAGTATATTTTACTATTATATAGGCATTAGTACTACTATTGATTATAAATACTATTTATATAGTAGGTTAAATAAATTTTTGGCAAAACATTGCATTTTAAAATGTCAACAAAATAACTAAAATTGTTATTCTTCATTTAAATATCTAATTACGTCCACATTTGAAATTGAAATATGTATAATACAAAAACTGTGTACCTACATATTTTACTTTAAGATTTTTTGGTTACAATATGAATCACTTAAGAGAAAAATTCTATTAAATTTTCAATCTATAGCTATAAAAATTGAACATTTAATAGTTATCTAATACATTTTCAACTACAAAATAATTTGCAAATTTTCGAGATTATGATGAATTTATTAAACTTAAACTGCTTATAACCATGCCTAGTATGTATCTTTAATATAGTTTTAACTACTATCATATTATAACAACTTTTACTTGGCCTTGTATTAAATTCTCAACCTTTTCGACCCAATAACATTTTTTGATTATCATTCAGAAAAAAATCTAAAAAACAATTGTAAATTTCTATAGCTCAAAATGTCTGTAGCTCAAACCTAGTCAAAATATTTTGCAAATGTTATCATGTATAGAAAATGATAATATAAACAAAATCAGAAAATCGTTCTATGAGAAATCGGTCAAATGCCTATTCTATGTCATACAAATTTGAATTTCAAACGCTCATAAACTTTTTTGATGTATTTCATTTTAAGAGGACGTAATACTGGCATTTATTGCCTCCGTCTCACAAGTGGTAACAGCGTAAATTTACCTCGAAATTTACGCTCAGCAGATCACGTGTAGCTTTTTTTGTTTAAAAATTAGAGTTCATCAATAACACATATGATATAATTAGTTGCTATTATGAAAACTTGATGGTAAGAACATTATTTATGTTTGTATGTGGGGTTTTACCCAGTTTTTTACGATAGTCAAATTTTAGCAAATTTTTCGTATATAATATTGCGTAAATAAAAAATATTCATAACTCACTTAAAAACTGAACCATCGTAAAAACACACATACAAACTCGGATAATCTTCTTAGCATCAAGTTTCATAATACGTCGATTTACTCTAATTTTTAAACAAACGAAAATAACATGATCGGCTGATAAATGCTATGTTAAGCACTTGTAAGACGGAGACAACAAATGCCAGTGTTACGTTTTCTTAAATCTTAGATCTAAATAAACAATTTTTTATGAATTTCTAACTAAATAATTTGCACATTTTTCAATTTTTGTGATTAAAACGAGTTTAATAAAAATAATAATTTTAGACACTCATAGTTCAACTTTTTTTTTGTAATTTTCAATAGGTAACAACAACTTATGAGGAAATTTGTATTACATTTTCAAGTTTTTTAATCGAGCGAAAACATTTTTGTCTTAATATTTTTAATTGGAATGTAAAAATTGTATGGTAATGCTAATATAAACATTCTGTGAACATTTTCTGTATGTACGGTAATTTTTTATTTAGTTTCGCCAAAAATCAGAATTTTTTCGAAAATTGGCTTTGAGTAAAAATCTCAGTTTTAACAAATTTTTTGTTTTTGTTTTTCTTGACGCTTTTAAAAACGTTCGGTAATTTTGTACTTTCGTCCCTCTAAAGTACCAACTACATTAATTTTCCTACCAGAAAATACGATATGGTACGCATTTTTATTTTTATTGCCCCAATAATTGGTGACATTCACAAAAAAACACACGCGTCATTGCAGTAAAATCAACAAATTCGTCGTTCCGCTCGGAATCCAAAATATAATGCATTTTATTAAGATTATTTCCATATGAATGCATAATATTATACTAGATAGGTAGTCACTAGTTAAGATGTTTCTAAAGCATGCCTATATATAATTTATAAGTATTCACCTACCTATTTAATTACAGTTATATATCTACATTTTCATAAATTGATGTTTTAATTTTTTTTTCGTAAAAATATCCAAGATATTGACAAACATTTGTATTAAATCTACTATATCTACTAATATAGGTCATAATAATACGTTATTTTTCTATTTTAGAAAAATATATTTTAATTTTCATCTTTGTCGACCATCGAGCCCTTCACGTAATTTGATATGTAGGTACTAAATTCCGATTATATTTTTACAAATAAACAATCGTCATTTTTACTATACCTTAATCTATGGTCAAAGAACACTGAACACATTCACTTAAAAAAAAAACTAAGTGAGAGTAAAACGTAAGTCTTAAGACGTAGTATACCTACGTCGTACCTATATAGTGCACAATTCACTCAATATGCGCGAACCGCTACTCTCCACGCCGCTTGTTCATATTCATAAAAGAATAACTAAATTTTTATCATGAATGTAACGTAATTTATTATAACTTATAAAGCGTCTTGTTGATTTTTGAGATCGTTGTTTAATAAATTAAACTAAAAAATAAAAACACTATAACGATAACGTTAAAACAGTTATGTACCTAAATAAACAATTTTTATGAATAATTTCGTAACTAGTAACTTCACAAAAAAACCATTAGATAGTTACCACTATATACGCGCTCAATGGCACTTTTAAATACATTTTAATTGTTACGTTTATTAAAAATTAATCAGTAAAATTGTCTAATTAGAACCCTTTAAAAATGGGTGGATGCTGTGCCACTCTTGTTCGAATAATCGAATATCCAGGAAAACATTTGTTATCTTTATTTTATATGAACAAGCAAAAACAAAATAAATTTTCGTATTTTAGATTCTGAACGTAGTGAAATTTAAAAAAAATAGTTAGGTTAAATTAGGCATAAATCATTTGTTATAAGCGCCTGACGCTGAAGTTAAAATTAGCATAAGTATTTGTCAAAATTACGAAAATTTGCAATCTATTTTGAATTAGATAATTATAAAAAATTTTCATTTTATTTCTTAGATATGAAAATGCATTACAACTTAAAGAAAAAAAGTTAAAAGTCAAATTAATTTTCTACAACATTGGATATTCACCAGGTTTTCTTAATTATTTATTGTAATTCATAAACGAATAACTGTAGATAGTTTAAATTTTCACCAAATGTTGATATTAGCACAAAAATGGTAAAATGGTACAATTTTAAAAACATTTTTAATGTTTTTGAGTTGATAAAATGCAATTTGACATTAATAGTTGAACGGATAGCCAATCAACATTAATTCTATAGTTAACAAGCAGATTGATGTTTTATTTTTATACTTAAGGATAAATAGTATACCTACACTATATTACTATATTATAATATGGCATGATAAATATTATCTTTGGTAAAAGAGAATTGAAGTCAAAGTATCAAAAAGGAAAATTAAATAAAACAGATAAAGGTATACAATTTGAATTTACTGAAACTGTATAAATGGTATGATTGTATAAATAACTGTTTGATTTTATTGATATAAATAAAGTTAAAAACAATTAAAATGGCTGAATGCCAAAATTAGTAGCAAACTGAAACGCAAAGAACTTGGGAGGTTTCTTGGGAGGCTGTGGACTGTAGCTCATCTTGAAAAATACATTTCATTTGGTTTGGATAGATTCAAATTAAACATTATATTATTATAATATATCATATGATCAACCAACCTAATTTATATGATTATTTACAGGAAGGCTGGCAATATTGTCATTTATATTATATTCAGGACAGCAAATGTGTAACTATAACATGTAGAAAACTTTCAATTACCTTTTTACACACATGGCTTAGCTTTAAATGGTGAAATCTGTATATAGTAATATTCAATTAACCACAAAAATATTTACTTACAAATCCTGTAAGTAAAGAATAACATTTATATTATTAAAATTATAAAAAAAAAATTGTGATTGTGATCTCATAACCTTTTTGAGCCTTACACAATTGGCTACAGATTTGGCTACATGCCCATCTAAAATATTTAACATAGTATACTAACTATAATAACATACCTGAACATTAGTTTAAATATTTTTAGGTAAACCTTAAAATAAAAAAAAAATAATTAAGGGATTAAATAGTACCCAACTGTTTAGCTGTAAGTAGATACCGATAATTAACTAGGAACTAAATTAGGTAAGTAATTTCTAAATATTGTCTTAATACATTAATAATTAAGTAAACCATAAATCACAAACCATTCTATATACTAGTCATTATTTAGTAGATATGTAGTTGAACGTGTTTCATTTTAATCATAAAGCCAGTTATTGGCAATCATTTATTTATAAATTAATTTTCATATAAAGACAAGAAAATTAAAATATTGTGAGTTGTATTACCTATGTAATTAATATTATGAAAAGAGTATTCGTTTTAGTACATTCTTAGCACTAGGCACGTGGTAACATTTTAAAGGAATTTATTTGTCAAATTAATTGAAACGAATTAATTGATTTGCTCATCCTACAAATTTACAAAACTGGTTTTTTTTCATCTAATGCGTAAGTACATAAAAACAAAACAGTTTTAAACCCTATTGCGAGTTCTCGATTTCGATCCACAAACGTTTGAAACGAACTCTTGGAGCATCAAACACCGAGGCGTTTGCCCGCTGATTTACTGTTTGATGATCGTAATGACAAAACAATCGATAACTAGTAACGACAGCGAGACCGGATCCGACCGGTAAGCGTTACCTACGACAAAATAACAACATTATTTGCGTAAGAACGACGACGTCGCAGCACGCCACCGACCGGAAGCCGATGTCCGGTAGGCGAACGTCAGCGGCGGTCGAGTGCCTACGGAGGAAACACATCAGATCGGAATTGAAAGAAAAGCGCGTGTTCGGATAGATTTTTTTCAATCGCAATACATTTTCAAAATGGTCGCCGGATTTCATGGCAGTGGTGGCCTCCGACTGACTTGAAAATCGGTCGAGTTTTTTGTCCGTCGTCGGAGGGGATTAGGGGAATGGAAACGATACGCCTGCGATGTTTGAGCGTGATCAACGTGACGCGCGGACCCCCTCGACCACCAGCTGTAGTAAATGGGTACGGCGGAGGCGTAAATAATAGTAATAATAATAATAGTAATAATAATAATAATAATAATAATAATAATAATAATAGTGGTGACTGGTGAGTATGGTGACGGTGCGTGAAGGTGAAGGTGAAGTTGTGAACGCAATACGCGCGACGGGAATTGGAAGGAGCTGGTGGTGGTGGTGGTGGTAGGGGGTGCGGTGTATACAACGGTACGGGCAATCATTTGCCGCGATAAGCACGGTGGTTTCGGCAACGACGACGTCGATAGCACGATTGTCGAAATCACGACAATATTATTATTGTGTCGGGAGGAAATAAAAAATACGATTTTCAAACGAAAAATCATATCGGCGACGCGATTGCAGCGATCGCATGGAAATTATTATAACATGGAATTTAACCACAATAATAATAACTAGTAGCGACACCGTAACGATACATTATGGTTATACTCACAACATGAATGAGGCTGCGTGGTGCGACGTCAGTGGCGGCGGCGACAACGACGATCAGACGGCGGCGGACGCCATTTTTAGCGTACGACAGTGCGTGCGGCGGCGACGATGAGCTGCGGCGGTGGGGTAGGAGAGACACGCTGGTGCGCCGGTTGGAGTGGGGTGGTGTGTCCGTGACGGTGAAGAGCGGCGGTGAAGAGCAGCGTCGGCGGCGGTGAAGAGTAGCGGCGGCGTACGTCGGGACGTGTGAATCGGCGTACCGGCGAGTTCGGCGGCGAAATGTTTAATAACTGGTGGTCGGCACCGAAGAGTACAATGTGTTGTTCGAAGCTTGCCGCAGTGCTGCCACGACCGGCGCGATCCATTACCGTATGTCTGCCGCGGTTTCTTGCGACCGTGTCGTAGACTCGTAGCGGATTACGATTTTTTTTTTTTTTTATTGTTTCTGGTTATTTTTTATCCTACGCCTCCCGTTGTACGGTCGAACAGGCGATACGTGTATTTGCGCGACCGCCTGCAACGAGCAGTGAGCACCGACACACCGCGACCGTATGCATAGCGCATAGTGCACGCGGCTAGCGGTTAACGTCATCTGTCACCGCGGGATTTGAATGCACTCGGGGCTCACTTACCTTTTTTGCCCGAGCACTTACCACTCGGCCACTCGGGTTTTGACCACCACCCGTACCCAAGTCCAAGTGGCGTATTGCGTTTCGTGTCGGACCGACGAACTCGCGAAAACCACACGAAACCTGCAGCGGCGGGATTCTCGCAAAGGCGTATTTAGATGGGTAATAATTAGTTTATCGGACGGCTGTGTTCTCCGGCGTTCGATAACAATCAGTGGGTAATGGAATTATTAATTGCGTTCGTATGACCACCGCCGCCGTCGCTGCAGCCGAGTGCGCTTACCTTGGAAAACATTCGACAGATTTCTCCTACTCCGTCGTCGTCGTTTTCGCATGTCTACCCACTTACCAACCGAGACCGTGTAATTGTCACGTAGTGGATATTATACCTATGTATAGGCCACCGGTAAACTCGCACAAGTTGCGTACGCCGCATGAATAGATACAGCGGATTGCGATCGAAATGGCAGTTGGTTACGATTACAGTCGTTTTATTAATTATCACGATAATATAGGTACATCATCATCGTTGTAATTGTAGTGGAAGGTCCTAAAATAGTCGCCGCGAAATGACGACGAAAATCGGAAAGTCCAGACGAATAATATAGTAATAATATTATATACCAACTTTGCACCAGCTAAATTATCATTATGTTTGATTAAAGTACACGGGTATTAATAATTATTATTGTTGTAATTAATAATATTGTTATTGTACACGTACTGTAAAGAATGTCGCGATACCAATTCCTTTTTATTGACACGGTGTTAGTTGGATATGTTATAGTTGGATACTCGACTATATTATTATTATTACGTCAAGTACTGAACTACCAAGTACTTACCTACCTAGTTTTGATTGTTTCTTATTAGTTATTATTACTTATTACTCATTCCCATGTTGTTGCGATAACGCAAAACGTGTTCCTAATAAGTAATAATATTAATAATATATAATATTATTATGATTATTACCTAGGTATAGTGTAGGTACGTACGAACGAATAATTGATAAATCAATGCATAATAATATCATCATTGTGTTGTTGGATCATTAATAATTGTTGTTGTATGAACTTGAAAACGCTCACGCCGCAACGTCCAAACGCCAAACAATAAAAAATATGACTTTAGTGGCCGACAGTAGTTATAATAATAATAATATGATTATAATATTACAATATGCATAACAATAACATGGTGCGTACCGTATGTGTGTATATTGTGTTTTATTCAATTTTGTCGGTGTGGCTCGCCAACGGTCTCCCCGGCACGACCATAATAATAATATAATATTATTATTTTCAACGGGGCCCCCGTTCGGCCATAAATTCGTTAAATATTTACGATACTCTTCTCAGTCGGTGGACCCCTATATGCGCAATAAAAAATTACTCAAGGTGCTCGGCGATCGCGTTGCGCCGGGTGCACTATAATATTATTATTACAGTGAATGCTCTCCGCCGAATGCTCCGACGTACAACAGGAAGAAAATAATGAGTGGCCCAATGTCAATTGAAGCCGTTCCCGCGTATGATATTTATTATTATTAGGCACTTGCTAAAGAATTTTTGAACGTAATTTCACATTTCAGCGGACAGATGAGCGTTGCAGATACCTACTGGTTATTTACAAATTACAATGATGAATGTTATATTATTATACTCCGACGAACAGCCTTCGGTTACACATTTTAGTATTTTACACTAAAATATAGTGTCATAGAAGTCACCAACCCATCACAGTAATGATAGATAAGAAAACTTGAGCTTCAGTTATTGGCCATAACATTTTGAGGGTGGTTTATGGTAGAAAATTTGGACGCAATACTGTTCTAAAAATTCGAAAAAACCTAACAAAAAAGATTACGGAATATCTACTCAACACCGGTTTTCGACCAAATGTATTTTGTTTTTTGATGTACCACATTCAAAAATGAAATAAATGATTTAAGCACTTGCAATTATCACCGAAAACTTATTATAGTCAAGTTTTCTTAACATGATATTATAAATTTCAAAATATTTTGGTTATTTTTCAGCTTTTTATAGACATTTGAAATTTTAGACTTGTTTTAACTATACGTAGTAAAAAAAAGCTTGAAAACGTAAACCAAAAACCCACCTACATTTTTTCGTGGTAATTAAAAAATATGGAACAAATACGAACAAATACTCCTATTTACGTATACCTACCTAATAGGTAATAACCTACCTATAATGAAAACATTTTTTTTATAAGCGATCGAAGATCAAATTTTATTGAAAATGGATATTCAATCTTGAAATAATACAATTCTTCTTCATAGGATTTTTGTTATTTTATTGTATTAAAAAAATAGGTAGGCACTTATATAGTTATATGATATTACAAATCCATGATAATATTTTTAATAGTTTGTAAGTAGATAATGTTTTATTATTTATTATATATTATGTAACATGGTAATTGCGCTATCGTGCGGTAGTCGAGATAACGGATAAGTACCAAAATTATTAATCGTAGATTCGTATAGAAACATGAAACATTCCACTATTACTTACTTAAATTATCATTTTTTATACTCGAAGAAATTTTTAAAATTCTTAGACTAATATTTTAATAGATCATTTATAGACAATTGCGAAATGTAGAATATTTTTTTTAATGGAATACAAAGTGAAATACACATTGACACAAATAGCTGGGGAGGCTTGAGGGACTTAGTCCCCTCAAATGTCGGTCAAGTCCTCCCAGTTCAATATCTAGTAATTAGCACTAAATTTTATATTCTGTGGTACTAAGTAATATGGTCTATGACGAGGGGGGTTTGAGCCCCCCAAAAAATTTAGTCGATTTGCTCCTATGGAAAAACATATTTATGTATACCTACATTTTGAAGTTCGAATTTTATCAATTTTGATGTATAAACAAAAAATATAGATTTTCACACGGTACGTATTGGTATATTTAGTACCTATTGGCTTTATAAATTATCATAACATTGGACAATAATATTATATTATTAATTATAATAATTATTCAAATAATATAGGTACACACACAGATGACAGATAATATATATATTATTTATTTGTATATATATATATCGGCAATTCTATGATTACATTTAAAATTAATATATTATATGTAGTAATGTTATAACACACAGTAAAACCAAACATAATATCGATGGCTATGAAGCCAAAAGTTGTATGTCCCAAACACTAAATTTTTCAGGAGAGCAGTTTTAAGATTTTAAATTATTCTACACCAAATAATTTGTGTTGTAGGTTTTTGTTTTTCGGTGTTGCAACAGATTTATTTGTAAAATATTCTGTAGATTACATAAATTATTACTTTTAGGTCTTAACATTTTTTTTAAACGTAATTAAAATGTTTCTTTTAAATTTAAATGAGATTTTTTTATGAATAGCAATTATAATATATTTTTACCGTGGACATATATATAAGGTTTTGATGGACATATTAAAAATTGTTAATTTAATATAAACTCTAATTAATTTATTATATAAATAGTTAAAATGAACGTCAGACTAATTATTTTGATATAAAAAACTCAATTTATTTATATAATTGCAGTGAAAAAGTAAAAAATATAAAAATATTGGAATTTTTTATTGGATATGAAAAATAATAAAGTAACATTTTTCAACACTTTTTTAGTCAAATAAAACCCGTGTTTAATGATATTTTATGCTAATTGAAGATATCATATTATTTAGTGTAATTTAAAATTAAAAATTTTTATTATTTAAAATAATGCGTCCGGACATATTCATTTTTTATAAATAGATACACAAATTCAGTATTAGGTATCTAAAACATTACACGTCCAAAATTGAATGAATTGTTTTTGACAAAAGTAATAAGTCCGGATTTGTTATATTTGTACGCTTAATATTTAGACCATGTCAAAATATTTATCGTATGTCTCATTAAATTAGGACTTGTTATATGTGTGCACTAAAAAAACCTATCTTGCACTAAAAACACAAAAATTAAAGTATACAAAATAAAACATGTTTTAATTATGATATTGACTTATAATGTTTTACCGAATCAAAAATACGACCCAAATAAACTCTATGGACTAATAAAACGATTTTGAGAAAAATTGGACATACAACTTTTGGCCTCTTAGCCATCAATATAGAAAATAAAACTCAATATAAACATAATATATAGTAACATAGTGTATAGTATAATACAGCAAATTTATAATTTATACATTTATTAAATATTAAAATCAAAATTAGCATTATTTAGCTTACTTAGAGTTCTATGTAAGGGATGATAGTGTCCATAGGATGTGTTGTGGGTTGGTACTTGAAAGAGGGAGTGATTTCTGGAGAAAAATAGGGAGGGATTCGAAGACTTACGTTGGAGAGAAGATCAGGAGCATCTATAGTGCCACCTAGGAGCGAGGTTATGAAGTGATCATCAGTCATCAGCATCTTGTCGACGTGATGATAGCAGTGGTATTTCCAATATACTACGTAAAAAGGAATAATCATGAGGAGGGTGTACTATCTTCATAATATGAGAAATGTAGGAAAGTATTATGTGATGTTTCTGGCAAAAATTATATTCATTTACCGTATACCTTATACCGTATATACCTATCTAACTAAAGGTCCACACACACTGCGGCGGTAAACGGTACGGTGCCGGTAACGATAAAATTGAGCTCATAGTTTTAATGACATCAGTCACGTTGTTACGATAATACCGGA